GCTAGCAAAATAGCTTATAATGCTGTGGTAAAAATATTCTAATTTTCCCAGAGCCTCCTAAATCTGTATCCTACTAGTCATTTCAAAATGGGTTCAATGTCTCTTTTAGCATAACAGGGGTCATAGAAAGCTTTTCAGCATCTGGAAAATTATATGTCTTAGAAAATTCTCATGAAAGAACTAAAAGGGTCTGTATTTGCCTGTGTCATTTTGTCATTCTATCCTTAATCAAGTAATTTTCTTATGTAATGGTCTACATTTCGTGGTATGAATAGGTTGAAAGGGTATAAAACCAAGTAACAATTTTCTTATGAAGAGTAAATACTAGCTCATCAACATTTGCTAAGCCTACCAAATACCACTCTGCTGCCTTAACACCTGAAGTGAAATGTGTAGCCGTTCTGTCAATAAAGGAAATCATAGTTAAGCGACTAAAGTTCAGTGCAGGCACAGTCTCCAAATTCTTTAAATTTGATGGATGCTAGAGTATTAAAAATACATGATCTAATCTGTGTGTGTGTGTGTGTGTGCGTATATGTATATATATATATGTATATATATATATATATATATAGACAGATGGGATTTTAGACTTGGCAGGAACCTTAGAAATCCACTGCTCTACCTCATTTATAGCTAAGACACCCAGAGCCCAGAGAGTTAAAATGAACTTCTCAAAGTTGCAGGGCAACTCCTGATCCTGTTCTTCATACTCCTCTTTTCATGTTTAGCTGTTACTCTGCAGCAGCCCTGTCTTCTGAGTCTCTCATAACAATACCTGTTTCACTTCATATTATCCTTTGGAAGAGGAATGAACCTGCTTTGACAAGTGCTGTGATTAGGATGTGGTTTGTAACCCAAGCGTTCTTGTGTTGGAGGCTTGGTTCCCAGTTGTATTAAGAAATGCCGGGACCTTTAAAAGGTGGGACCTAGCAGAAGCTAGTTAGGTCATTAGAGACATGCCCTTGGAAAGATTTAATGCTGGTGTCTTGAAGGGAGTTCATTCCCTTATGAATTTTTATAAAAGAACAAAGCTGGTCCCCAAATCTCTCTGGCTTTCTTTCTTACCATGTGATCTATCCCTCTAGCACACACTCCCACAGTTTTTCCATCTGCCATGTTGTGATGTAGCCAAAAGGCCTTCATCTGAGCCAGCAGATTCAGGTTCCAAGGTCTTGGACATTCAAAACTGTGAGCTAAATAGGCCTCTTTTTCTTTACAAAGAACCCTGCCTCAGGCATTTTGTTATAGAAATAGAAAATGGACTAATACAACAATAAAATGCTACATAAATGTACTGCATTCTTGCTTTTATTTTTTAAACCTATAGTGTAGGTTATAGTTGCTTTCAAAGCTGGCCTACTTCTAAATAAATTAGATGTCAGCAAATTAATAGAATCCATTCTACACTGAACTCTGAAAATATCTTTATATTCGAGACTTAAAAGACCAGTGAGTTGATTCTTTTTTTATAAAGTAGAATCTCATTGTGTTAAAAATAGTGTGCTTAAAAACAATTTGATTTTTAAAATGTCTTACTATTTTTGTCTCATTGAAAGCTTCTCTCTAAAATTTCATTTATAAAATCATTGTTTGCTAATTCTTTTCTTTTTCTCAATAAGTGTTGTTTTCTATTAAAAGCACAATAAATCTCACCTTCCTTGTTTTACTTGTGTATTTTTTAAACCCTCAAATGAAGGACACTGTTCTTAAGACACAGTATGTCCCTGTAATCCAACACGAGTTCACATTTATAAATGGGTAGGCTGGGACAGAGTTCACTTGATAAATGTTGCACCTAATGATTCTCATAGTTCAAAGCATTAAGCCATGAAGACAGTTACCCTCCCATCCTCACAGCCACCTTATAAAATACATGTTATTGCTGTCCCCAGTTTTCAGGTGAGAAAACTGAGGCACAGAGAGTTGAAATAACTTGCCCAGGCAACTCATTTGGGGGTAATAGAGCCAGAACTCGAGCCTCAGTAGTCTAGCTTCTGGAATCCTTGTGCCCTAGCTACCAGGATCATCTCCTGAGTCAGTGATTTTGCCTTTTCTGACAGTGCTTACCTACAAATGGATCAGATTATCTGAACAGTCCCTTCCTGCAAAATGCCCTTCAATCTTAAATATCTGCATTTTGAAAGTTATGGAGGAAAGACATCAGTACTTAATACTTTATCCTGATGTCTAATAGAGACAGAGTTCACTGAGAAACAGAATGAGGAAACAGGGGAATATCACAACGATCATGGGCTTTGGAGCCAAGTGGATCCAAGTTGCAATCCTGCTTTTATGGTTTGTAATCCATGCAACCTTGAGCCTCACCTGCTTAAATATCCTATTTCTAACATTAAAAAAAAGGAAAATTAATAACAGTTCTCTCTTGAGTGCTTGTTCCAATAAATGACCATAATTTACATAGAGTCTGCCATCCAGCACCTGGCCTGTGGTCACAGGCAGTGGTGTTGTTGGAGTTGGTACTGTTATCACAGGGCCAGGTGTCCTCAATCAGCAGGTGCTGGCTTTGCACTTGCTGGGAGCCCCATTGGACTGCAGGTCACAATCTGGGTTTCTGTTGTAAGAGATGACAGGAGGTCCAGGAGAGTGGGTGGAGAAATTAATTTTCAAAGCAGCCACCACAAAGGAATGCCCGGGGCTCTTGATGTCAACGAAAGCAGGAATGCTGCTGCTGGGTCAGCTAAATTGTGGGTTTCAAGCTTGCACTTGGGGCCACCTAAAAGAAGCTCATGATGGATGGTTTTATTTCTCCAAGTTTCACCTTCCTTATATATAAAGTGAGGATGCCATGATGCCTGCCTTCCAGGGATGGTTGAGATAGTGCCTGGAGGAGCCCTGGCACCTAATGTGCAGCCAGCTAACACGCCTGTTATTAATGAGGTTACTTCCTCCCTCTTCACCCAAGCAAGAATGGGGCTTGTGGGTCTCAGTTTCACCTGGCAATCTCAGCTCCAGTAATCCCATAAACATTTTATCTGGGGCATAAAGTACACACATAATCACACTTGGTCCCAAAATGATTCTGTGATAATGTGATTAATAACGAGTTCTCGGATGGTAATAGTGTTTTAAGGTGCTTCTGTAGACTTGTAAATTTCATTGGCTTCAGTGCTTATGAAAGTGAGACTGACAGCTCATTGCCCAGGGCAGCAAACAGCACAATTTGCCTGTGTTGATGTTCCAAGTTCCCTAAATAGCTTTGTGTCTTAGGTCAAAACTTCACATTTGCCAGTGTCTCACTGCCAGTAACCCAGGCTGGGGGAGAGGGTGACTTGTGTGTTCTTGCTTCTAATTGCTGAGATATGAACACACTTGACTAGGAATTAGGGGAAATGTCACACAGTCACCCATGATCCTGGAACTACTGTGCTGATATAATGTTCATGTCATTGTCCCCACCTCGCCAAGTATCTGTGTTAACTTTTATCCTCTCTAAAGCTCTTTCCCATGAATCGTGTCATTTGATCCTTGAAAAAGCCTAGGGAAAAGGCACAGGAGATTTCATTTCTATTTTCTAGTTAGGAAAATTCAGACCCAGAAAGGAAAAGGGTCTCGCTTCTTATTGGCATGGACAGAACTTGAACCTGAATCTGTGTTCTCAAACCCTTTCTCCATGACTGCATATGGCAGCTCACCTCTGCCCTTAACTGACCAGGAGAAAACAGCATTGCCTTGTATTCAGATCTGGTTATGCCTTTCAGGGGTGAGCTGTACAAACACATTTGTGACTGTTTGAGGATGTTCAGAGTTCTGGAATCCACTATATTAAGAAAGTTTGAAGAGAGGCGATTTGGGTATACAACAACTTTAGCTGTGCCAGAGCATAGTGTGTTCCCCTTAGATCTGGTCAGGGTTCATCCAGCTTCCGGGGGCCTGTACCAGAGTCTTCTCTATGTGTGGAGTTGCTGTGAATCCAAATGGTAGGCACCAGGGCTCTCCCCAACAGAAAGTCTCTTCTCTTCACTCCACTTCGACCCTTCCCCCTTCTCTCTTGGACTTCCAGTGCCTGAAATTTCACCATCCTGGGCCTTGAGGACTAATTGGTCTTTAGAGATTCCAAATAAAATAAAAACACTTACACTGTATGTAACAGCATATATATTTGTTAGGGGTGGGATAGATCACAAAGCCTAGTTCCTTGAGCTCTGCAATGTTCTTGTGAGTAGTAAGGGACCTTACAAAGACCAAATGAGGTGTCATATGCATAAAAGGGCTATGAAAGTATAAGCTTGGCAGATGACAGAGATGCAGGGAGGGGCTTGGGCCCTGGTTTGAGGAGGAGGAGGAGGAGTTGAGAGGTGGCCAGACCTAGAGCCCAGGGCACTGGATCTGACCTGAAAAAGCTTACCAGGGGTGGGCTCATATGCAATTTTGACTGATTGCAAGGCTGGACCCAATGCAGCCTTCACAGCCATTTTGTTTGCTCTGACCTCCAGCCATCTGTGCCTGGGAATGTAAAACAAATGGTTAATGGCATCAGATGGTTAATGATCACAAATGTCCCCTCCTCACTGCCGTAAGAGGGAAAAGAGCCCCTTGGAGACACAATCACGGATGCTATTTCCAAAGTTGGAATTAATTGTGTATTCAGGAAAGCCCATCTTCTGCCAGTCATTCTGTTAAGAAAGGGGAAATTAAGGGTGATGGAAGCACTATGCCCAAGGGGGCAACTGGAATAATCTCTATAAGGTCAAAAAGGCAGATACAGGGCTCATATTCAACATGGTCCTGAAACAAAGCCATAAGGTCTGTGTCCTGGAGCTGATGTTCTTTAGAAAAAATATATGCTGACGTATAGGTCTGCCAATCTGACCTTAAACTTCTTTGTTTTATGAGGGCTAGCCTTTGATTGCCTTTTTAAAATCCCTTTTGTCCATGGCCGCTTAAGCAAAGATGCTGTCCTCGTCTCTCTTTGGGGAACCTGCCTGTGGTTGTTTCACTGTTCTAAAACTTCCTCATTTTCCATCTCCTTCCTCTAGCTAGTGAGACCTGCAATGACTTCCACCCGATGTTCTTCACCCACGACAGATCCTTTGAGGAGTTTTTCTGCATCTGCATCCAGCTCCTGAATAAGACATGGAAGGAAATGAGGGCAACTTCTGAAGACTTCAACAAGGTAAAGTGGGTCTTGGGCAGAGGAAGGGGCCCCCCATCTTATTAGAGGGGCATCATCCTCAACCTATAGTATGGTCCCTCAACTGTCTGGAGAAGGTGGTGGACAAGGCAAGAGAAAGAAGAAGACTTTCTTCTTTGGTTAATGATCATTTGGGTTGCTGCAACAATGAAAGCAACCTCTGGGTATAAGCAGATTTGTCCCTTTTGTCCAAGCCAGAGTCCCCTGGTAGAGACCCTTTCTTTTCAACTTTGTCAAGGTGAACTTATCACTTTGTGGCTTTAGTTTTGGATGTCTTGTCAATACTAGAAGATTAATGGGGAGGGTGCCCTTCCTCCACCTGTCGAGTAGACAAGCACAGAGCCAATCAGATCAGCCTTGTCTTAGCCATTTGTTTCTTTGTGGATTATGGAGGTGTGGAGATCATCTGCCCTGTGCTTTGTCAAAAAGAATTTTTATTAAAGGATAGGTATCTTTAAGGGAATTGTATAGGTTTATGTGGAGCATTCTTGGTTTATAAGCATTGAATCCTTTGCACTGTGCTGTCATTTGGTTTTTCTGTGGTATAATTTCACACATGAGCGCAACTTTCCCATATCCATTCATATGTGAATGTCAAGTAAAGAGAGAGGTGTTGACCAACCTAAAGGAAACAGAAGCACAGTCCATGCTTTTAGAGATAAACAAATTCTATATCTTTCAATAAAAACCCTAGGAATAACAATACTATGACTAATAACTGTTTTAGGATTGGATCAGACATAAATGGCTCCGGTATGGTTGGCCCCCGCATGCAAGCCCATTCACCCAGTACTATGAATATAACCTAAGAGTCTAAGAATCTGGTCTCATACTCACACCCTGGGGCCTTTGTGGGCTGTGGCTTGAAGCATAACCTCTCTGAATTCCAACTGCACTTAATGATCTTGTTAGTCTTTGCCTCCCTGTCTCCTTATCTCTGAATTTCTGTCTCATCCTTCCTTTCTGCTGCGTTTCTGGTTTGTGGCATCTTAAATCAACACTGGTTGCAGACAGAAAATCAGGAAAAGGACTCTATCCTTAGGTTCTAACTTGTCTCCCTCAACATAGGGATCTCATCATGTGCCTTTATGGATATACACCATTCTGTCTCAGCCATATCTGCCATCTTTCCTTTGCATCTCAGGCCACCTATTGATTTCACTGAATTAGGCCTTAGTGATGTTCCTTTATGGAGCACACTGCTTGATCTAGAAGCTGCATTCCAGAGCTTCCAGGTGCCTAAGCAGCTATGCCAGAGGACAGGCATGACTCAAGGAGGACAGGGAAGGAAAGAAGCCCATTAGTTCCCCTGTGATTATAACTGAACCTCTTCAGTGTACTTAAGTTGATTATGGGAGACTCTGCAATTCAGTGCAAATTATCTACAGGATAGTCTTCATCCAATCAAGCCCCCCAAAAAGGAGGAGATATAAATCAATAGTCTTTGAAAGTGGCTACAGCCACTTTGTCCTGGATCAGTTCCTCTCCGCAAGGGCTGGGTTGTGAAATACCTCTAGTCCTCAGCCTTATGTGTGAGGACATATGCTTCTCCAGGGCAAGGAGACCCCACCAGCCAGCCCATGTCTTGGTGTCAGTCAAGAGTGGATATCAAAGAAGGGTCAGAGATAGGAAAGACAAGGGAATTTAATTTTGTACATTAATTTTTTTTTTTTTTTTTTTGCTTTGTCTTCCTGGTTACTTTTGTGACCAGAAAAGTGCAACCATTATACGCATAGTTATCACATATGTTTCATTTTCTATTGTTGCTGTAACAAATTACCACGAATTTAGCAGCTTAGACAATACAAATTTAGTATCTCACAATTCTATAGTTCAGAAGCCAAAAATGCATTTTGCTGGGCTAATATTAAGGTGTCAGCAGAACTGTGTTTCTTTCTGGAAGCTCTCAGGGGGAAGCTAGACTTTTCCCATCTTCTAGAGGCTGCCTGCCTTCCTCAGGCTGTGCCCTGTTTCTCTATCTTCAAAGCCAGAAGCTGCAGGTCCAGCCTTTCAGATGTTCCATCACTGTGGTCCCTCTTCGGCCTTGGCCAACCACTTTTAAGGACCCTTGTGATTACATTGAATTTAGATAATCTGGAATCATCTCTTTGTCTTAAGATCAGCAGATAACAAATTAAATTCTACCTGCAATTTAATTCCCCTTTGCCATATCAGGTAACATATTCACAGGTTCTGGGAGTTGGAACAGGGCATCCTTGGGACCATTATTCTGTCCATCACAGCATACATTTTATTAGTAGCTATATTTGATTTTTAGGTGTGTATATCAATTTAAATTAATGAAATTTGGACTAGACGAGCCTTTTGTTTTTCTTTTTGTGGGCAGATACAATCTCACTTATGGTGTTCTGCCAGTGGATGCTCAAATCCAAATATATTTATGTCCCTTTTCTTTTATGTCCCTGTTCTGCCTCCACTAGCCTTTTTAACAAAGAAGGGCCCTGTGTAAGAGTCACTAGTTCAGTTTAAAGTTTGTCTTTCTAATTTTTTTTTCCTACCACCTGCCTATCAGCCACTGTTCTGTTTTACTCCATAATAAATTGAAGAGAAGAGAAGTGCTGAAATTGAAATCAGTTCACTTTTCTTCTTGTTATTAACTTGGTAGCAGAGGAGATTGAATTAAGGAACAAATAGGGACTTGGAGTTACTGGTTGATTTAATGTTTTTCTTGTTCCCTAAGACTGGCCAAATTTGAATTCAGAAATATTTTAAAAGATCCAACATGAAACAATTTCTTTTGAACTTTCTTGGACACCATCTCAGGCTCTTGCCACTTTGAACAGAGTATGAAAGGCAGATGCATTGTCAACTTGAGATCCAGGGCTCTGTGAGAATGGCTCACTCATCTGCCTTCCTGGGTTCCTCACTGGAGAAGCAGTCCCCTGCAACTCAAAATTTTAATTTATCCAGCAAACTATATGAGTCTGTCCAGGACAGGAACAGCTTCTGCAACCACTTTGCCTGGGACATCAATTTGCAGATATCTGATGCATGGTTAATGCTGCAGCTAGAAGAGAATGTTTGGAAAAGCAGCTGTCTTCTGCTCTTCCAGGCTTTGGAAGTAGCAGATGGGATGTTTTTTATTTATATAAGAGAAGTAGAATTGGAGAGTGATTAAAATATTTATGCTTTGAAAATTACTTTCTTTCAGTTTTTCAATATAGCCGTCTGCAGAATAATCCATTGATTCAGACCATTGAGTTTGTATTCTATGTTTTTGCCTTTTATTACCAATATTTTAGAGCATGCATTATTCATTTTTATGGGCATTAGAGAAGAGCTAAACTGCAGCTGGTTACCTCGGCACACAAGTGGCCCCATAATCATTTCATGGAAGCCTTCATTTTTGAGGATAGGAAAGAGGACACAAGTGATATGGAAATTTCAGGTACAGGAATCTCATTTAAAGCTCATGTGGCTGACTGCTCCCTGTTAAAAATCCTAACAAGAGTATACACGTAAAAAATAGATCTCTGGGAATCTGTGTTTCTCAACCTTGACTGTGCTTTAGGATCGTCTGGGGCCTGTTATCTCAGACCCAACTGCACAAAGAAAAATTAACCCATGGGGTAGGGACAAAGCTATCAATGAGTATTTTCATTAAGTAAAGCAGATTTGCTCCCTATTGGTGATTTGTGTCAACAGAATTACCATAAGCTCAGTAGGAAAAAAAAAAAAAAAGAATTACCATCAGCTGATGCATGGGACATGTATCACCAACTAAGGCAGATTGTGTACATGGATAGGGTAGCATGTTTGTTGATCTGTAAGAAGCAATTTTAATCCTCATTCTGCTACTCAGAAAATTAATGAAAAATAAAAAATAAATGGAGACTGGGATCCCATCACCTTCTCCTATGGTGGGACAATATTAAATGGAAGTAATAAATGTAAAAATGCTTTGAGGAAGTAAAGAGTCATATGCAGATGGAAAGGACTCTTTTCTTAATCACAAGATCAATCCTGCCTATGAAGTATGAGTAAATTGCCCTTTTCAAAAGAAGACTTATTTTGTCCATTATGTTAAAAAGAAAAAGAAAAGTGAAGCTGTCTACAATTCCCATATTAAGTTCTGAACTGAATTAATAACCCATTTAACTTTGGCAAAAAAAAAATAGGCTCTAAGCTGAAATGTTCATGGATGTTGGCACGATCTTCTTTCAAACCACTTTATTAGGTACCTTTGTTTCTCATGAGTAGCAGCCTAAAAATCAGCTGGTCTCACGATTCTCTTGTACTCTCCAACAACCACCTACTGTCTGGGGTAGCTGAGTCTTTTTAGAGACCATCAAAATACTTGTTTGTAGTATTGGTGCTACTTTAGACTATCAAATCAACGTTGTAAACCAAGATCACATGACTTTGCCACACTTTCAACTTACCAAAATGGAAGAAACTAGTGATTTGAAAAATGTAGTCATTCTAGTACAAAAAGACGATTTTGAAACTTTATCCAATGGTATAATAAGCTAAGTACACAGGATGGGGTTAGAATCTCAGGCTTACAGATGAGAAACCATCCCTGCTTAAAAGAGCAAAGACTGTGCAATGGGGGAACCCAGGCCCAACAAAGACGCAGCTGCCCCTGGCCAGCTCGGATGAGCTTCGTCCGAGTCAATGGGAGAAAAATCTCAATTAGGAAGAATTGGAGATCAGGCCAGAAGGAAAGATCCTGAGAAATCTTCTGGAAAAGTATCCATAGAAAATTACTGCCAACTAGTCACATCTAGTGGATTATGGTGTGGTATAAAAAGGGATCACATTTAAAACTTTAAAGGCAGCAAAGGCATGAATAAAATAGGAGAATATGTTTGCTCTTCAAGCTGCTTTCAGCTTACTGACTTTCTGTGCATGCTTTTCAAGGGACAATTACACATTCAGGAGTCCCCTTCCTAGGCCAGCTCAACTTCATAGCGGTGCAGACAGCGCTCTGTTGGTTAGCTGAGCTGGCCCAGGGAATG